GCCGTAAATAACTAGAGAGTGCATTGTTCTGTCCTTTGAAGACTGGAACCTGGAAGAACCTGCTGGACTCTGGAATATCTCTGTCTCAAGCAATGGATTGTTACTCTCAAAATGGTTAGTTCAAGGTTCATCCCAGATCTTGTTAAAAATACTTTCTAACTCAGCATATCTGAAGCAGGGTTTAATTTTGCATTTAAATAGGTGCTTATTTAGGTGAGGCTAATGCAGCTGGACCACATTCCATATCGGAGTAGCCAGGATTTGGATACGGCATTAGAAAGGATCTATGGTTGTCTGTCGCAGGAGACCCGAAGGCAGAGTCCTGGCTGGGAGAAAGATGCCACCTCCTGAGTAGTTTATCTCCTTCTAGGAACAACCGAGAGCACGGCTTTTTAGCTGAGTAATTGTTAATTCAGGGAGATACACAAATCTAGAAGCCAGGCAGGGAAATTTAGGGGTATTCTCATTACCGTGAACAAAGCAGTTATGCTATTGTGAACAGGCTGATAGGATATGCCACTAATCGGCTTTGCACGGTACCATCTGTCACTTGCCAGTTTTGTCTACAACAGAGTGGCCTTTAGGATATTCTGTGTCGCAAGGGATGTTACGATCAATAGGCGCTTTTGGGGTGTCCAGGCCTGACAACCTGTTTCTTTACCTTAGAATTATAGACCTTGGTATTTTGATTTTCCTGAGCCTCCTTCCCCATGTCCAAGTCCTTAGATGTATGTGTGGTGTATGTATGTATGCACACACTGGAGGCCAGAGGTTTGATGTTCGATGTTTCTTTTATCATTCTATAGACCCTTTTGAAATCAGGTCTCTTAATTCAGCTGCTCTGGCTGGCCACTGAACTCTACAGACCCACCTGTCTCTACACCCTATCAACTCCTGGGAGAGGATGTACAGATATATTCATTGAGAAACTGAGTGTGTACCCGGTACCCGTGGGTGAGCAGACCAGCAGAGGATGTCAAATCGCCTGGAGCTGGTTCCAGGCCCTCGTGAGCTCACTCATCCAGGCAGCTCGTACAGCTTTCTATGTTGAGTGCTGGGATTCGAGCCAAACTCAGTTCCTCTGGCTCATGCTTATTACTGACTAAGCCTCCCTGGTCCCCTCATCCCTTGTTTCAGAAGCTTGGTGAAAGTCTGGTCAGTTTTCCTCCATCGGTTGTTTTTTGTTCCTCCTGGTTTTGGCAGGCAAGCTGCTGTGACAACATTGGAAACTGACTTACCTTGGCTGTTTACACCTCTGTTGGTGACAGCTCTTGGGTGTGAAGACCCACAGTAAATGTCTGCAGATACTCAGAATAGACACGTGAAACTTCCACATAGTTGTACGGACACAAATGTGTGGGCAGGAAGATAAGTGGTTAATGAATTGCCCCCAGGTCTCGTCCTTAAGGGATAGTACTGACTTCTGATGGGCTGCAGTTGTAAGATCTGTTGAGTCCCTTCCCACCTCTGATCACTGGCCTTCACTGCAGAGGCGTGGTTTGTCCTTGCACAGGTCAGGCCACGCAAACCTGATCTTCCTGCTCCCCAGCTTTGCCTACCACGGCTTTCAAGGGCCAGAGTGAGGGAGGCTGAATCCCAGTAGCCCCGTTCCATAAATACAAGTTCATGACTCAGCTTTGGCTTCTCACAAATGAGTTGTTCTCAGTGGCTGTTTCCTGGTCAAGTCTTAGCCCCAACCTTGTTTTATATATAATTTCTTTTCTCTTGGGATGAGGGTGCTGGGGAATGAAGCCTAGGGCCCTGTACATGCCAGGAATGTGTGTACTACTGAGTGATAACTCTAGCCCATTCATTGTTCTGTAATTCTACAAAACTCACCAACCTTATGACTTTGTAACATAGTTATGCTTGGTTTCCAAGTTACCTCTAATTTTTGGCAAGTAGTTTAAAACACACTGGCCCAAGTTTACCCTGGCCTGTGAAATTTAGGTCCCCCCCCCCCGCTTTAGATATTCTATAGGAATTGGTTGGCTTAGGGCTGAAAACCACAGGATAACTTAATGGATGGGTGCTTGGCTCTTCAAACAATTCTTTGTTCATATTACTGAAGTCTTACTAAGTTGGAGAAAAACAGTAGAAGCTGGACTATAGCCTTTGTCCAGCATGGCACCCCGTCCTTTCTAACAATACCAAATATTTTCAGGTAGACAAAGCCACCTCCCTTGTCACTTTATACATCTAGATCAGTCTGGTGCCAAGGCTGGCAACCTGAACACCTTTTCTATGTTTTTATTAGCACAGCTTTCTTTGGTGGATGTCAAAGGCCCAGCTCTTGGTCTCTTGATTCTATAAGATTCCGGCTTCCACTCTGGCAGCAGCTGAATCCAAGTTACCTGGCTAACAGACTCTTGTCTCTTTCAGGATCGAATCATCAATTTAGTTGTTGGCGGTTTAACCACCTTATTGATTCTAGTAAGTATCTTCTTTTTGCATTTATACTCTTGGCCAGTTTTGAGAACTTTACTATCAATCTTCCCCAAACAAAAGACGTATGAACATATAGATATTTCAATCATAGTCGAGTTGGAAAGAGTAAATCAGTCAATTGAGTTGGCCATGATTTCCTGCCTAGGAAATCTGTAGCTGACAGTGGCAGTGACTGTCACCTCTTCCGCTTCTTTCAGTGCCTTAAGTTTACTCTGACCAGGTTTACAAAGATTCAGACAGTAGATGTTAATTTTTAAAATTCTGCATAGCACATCAGAGTATGTATGATACACATTCTGTATCTGCCTATCAAAGTAAAAAACTACAGTTTATAAAATGTGATAACCAAGACTAAAATTTGCTAAGAGAACAAACCTTAGCTTTTCCATTGCTTTTTAATACAAGGTAGAAACAAAATGGGGATTAGAAAGCTATCTTTTGGTATTTTTTCATAAAAACCAAGTCAAACCAGCGTATATTCACCTTTTTCTTCCTAATTTTGTAATTCTAGTTTCCTCTGGCATTTTGGCAGTGTTGAGAACAAATACAAAGGTATCAACAGCTTATGCGTGTGTGCCACACCATTGGAGACACTGAATGATTCAGATTTGCAGGCCTTCTGCAGGGCCATCCTAGTTTGCATACTGCCCCAATTTCAGTGTGTGTTCTGCCAAAGTGAGCCCTACTCACTGTAGATAGGGAAAATTACAATTCCAAGATAATCAGATCGTTTCCTGGTAATGATTAAGCTTGGGAACGGGATTTGTATGACTGCTGATCTCTGTTAATGGAGAGGCTTCTTTCTGAGGCTGGTCTGCCTTCTTTTGTACTTGCTGGGAAAGTGTCAAATACTTGGACATGATGTCATGATGCAGAATGTCTAACTCTGCCGTGCTGCAGTCTGACTACACCTTGGAATTACTCTTACATGTCTCTCCATACAGGTGACACTGATCAGTGCTTTTGTTTTCCCTCACCTCCCTCCCAAACCACTGAATATATTTTTTGCTGTCTGCATCTCTTTGAGTAGTATCACTGCCTGCATACTTGTGAGTACACGGAATTTAAATGTTTGTAAAAGCCGAATATCGTTGTGCTTAGGACAGATTTCTAGCTCCTGGGTCTATAGAAAAGGGCATCTCTCCTTTTTACCCCACATCTCCAAGGATTTGCCATGGATAATCAGAATTACCCTTTTCCAGAATTGTCCTTTCTTCTCAATCCCAAAGTTAAAAAGCCTGAAGAAAACAGTTTCCTTAATAAGTAGACATGAAAGATTAAGAATTGCCACAATACTTCAAATTGTGCAAAATCAGATGGGACTCGCCTGCACACAGCAACTATACATAGGGTTCAACAGTCTTGCAGATTACCTAGATTACTTCTGGTAATATGGGTCCACTTGGGTTTATGTTCTTCCCAGAATGAAGACAATTAACATCACATTTCCCCGGAAACATATGATTATCAAGTTGCAGTTCTATCTGTAATAAGATGGCTCTAATACAGACCCTGATGTGCCAAAACACCCACCCCTAAAAGATGGTTATTTGGAGGTTATCTGTTGGTTTTGCCTTTCACTTGGGGTGAGGCTGTGTTTCACTGGGAGAGACTCGCTCACAAGCAACAAGACCCTGGCTTTGAGCTCCAACACTATTTTTTAAAAAGTACTAAGTTTTTTTTTAAAAAGTAAATCCTTAAATTGTTCCAAACCCACATAACTTTTAAGCCATATCACTTAAGTAGAATTAGTCCAAGATCAAATCTACTTGTAAGTGTTCGTATCTCCTATGTTCTGCAGTCCCGAGTGACCAAGGTTGAGATAGTTAAAGTATGTATTTACTTACATAAGCTCTCTTCTATCTGAATTGATCACATAAATCTAAGAACCGTCCTCTCTAGGAATTCAAATATATCCAGATAACATGTTTTTACCTAGTGTGATTGGTATAATACTTTGATCACAGAACCAAATACATCACAAAAACAGGAATATATATGATCTTGTATCATGGAAACACATGTAGTGCTATCTGAATCATAAAGAATTATGGCTACATTGACCTCAGGAATGATGATTAACTGAAGACTATTTCAGGACAATAAATTCTATGATATCCATATAAAAAGAATTAGTTGTATTTATATTGCAAGAGTTGGTCATTACTTAAATTTTTATTTTGATTCTTCTTTTAGATCTACTGGTATCGGCAAGGAGATTTAGAACCGAAATTTAGAAATCTAATTTACTACATCTTATTTTCTATCGTCATGTTGTGTATATGTGCGAACTTGTACTTCCACGATGTGGGAAGGTGAAGCAGCCGAGAGTGCTCCCCAGGACTCTATCTATGGGAATCGACAGCTGGGAAGGTCTGAAGTATGCACATGATTTCCATGTTAACTGTAACTCTGGACTCCCTCTCGCAAGGGAGCTGTTTCCTAGATCTCCGCTTTCCTTTAAGAAGCTGAAACATTCCAGCCCTCAAATGGCAAAGTATTTCCACTTTTGAAAATGATTTTTTTTACACTTTAATTGCACGGCTCAAATCTTTCATTTTAAGACAAATACTCTTTTATTTCTGTTAAACTGAATATACAATTATTGTTCCCGAGGCAACCAACTTTTGCTTATTACTACAGTTTCACATTAATAAAACAGATAGTGAAAAGACAACTCTGATTGTGAAGATCTAATTACAATAATAAATAAAATAATTTATACAAGGTTCCTTTTTTTTTTTGACTTTTCTGTAAGATCATATCATTAAAGCCCTCTAGGCTTGTTTTGGTGTTGCCCTTAGGAATGACTCTTTTGATACAGAAGCAAATTCTGTTTGTTAAAAGTGCCTGAGGGAGAAGCTATCCTGTACCCCCAACAGGTAATGCACTAAGTGAACATCAAACTCTAATACCCCTCAACTATTTTCTGGGCAATTGATATAGTCAAACATGTAGTAAAAAGTCATGGTTCTCAAACACAGGCGCTATCCCCTCCCCTCACCGAATGACTTCAAAGTGCTAACTGTAGAGTCCTGTCTGTCTCTGATGAGGGAGATAACTGCTTTGCTATAGTCACCTACATTCCCTTTAAGAGTTAAAGACCAAAGACCTGTAGTGAGTTTTCCTGACTCTAATTAATGCTTTCCTCTTTATCCCGCCTCAGTCAGCTCCCACTGCCAGCAATGGGGTAACCAGAGTAACCTTCACCACCACTTCCCATGTTCTCATATAAATGCTGATCTTGTCTTAAACTCCTAAGTCAATCTTTCTGAAGGTCACTGCTAACTAAGCTGGATCATGTTGATAATATAACCTGAACTATAACCAGGCCAAATTGAGTCTGGACAGAATACAGTGTCTAACTGCAGAGATGAGTGTTACTGCGTGTAAAAAACCAGAGCAGGTAAGCTTTGGTGATTTAATTAGCTACAGGGAATGCAACTCCCTCTTGCTATAAATCTGAACAGATCGGGGCAATTAAAACTTGCTACATTCCATAACACATTGTCACACATTGGACCTCAGATGATAGACCTTAACGGAGGTAAAAAGTAACAGCAGCAACAATGTGCATGGCTTAAGCACAGCAGCTACGTACAAGCCAGGAATGGCAAACCAAACCCTTGGGACTGCTCCTGTCTTTGGAGAAAAGAGAATCAGCAACGCGGCTTCTTTCACCTGAGTACCTGGCTCTAGTAACCTAGTGACAGTTTACCAGGTCCTCAACGTCCTTCGAGTCTTCAGAAACAGGACTGCCTAAGGACGATCCAATTATATTTGATTCTTCCTGATGATGTTGAAATATGGGATCTGAAATAAGTTTAAATAAAGTTAGTATTAAATGTATTTTGCTTATTATCCAGTCTAAGTCTGTTACTAACATGTAGGATTTAGTCTACAAGGAACACTGACAGATCAAGATATTATCACGACTGGATAAAACTGCCTGAGTTTCCCTTTTACTATTTACCAGGCTCATGAGGAAGAGTCTTAGTACAGTACCTGTTAGTGTTGTCAAAGGCAAGACAGATTCAGTATCTATGACGTCAGATGCTTGGATAAAGCCATGTGGTGAAGGAACGATAAGTATTGTTTCATCATCAATTGTTTGATGAACTTGGTGTACTATGGTGGGAGATTCTAAATCCTAAATAATATTAAAAAAAAAAAAGGAAACAAAAAAGATAGACTTACATTCCCCAAGTACATCCAGGTCTGTTAGCACCTGGATATTAGCTCTTAAATATCCTTCATTTAAAAATTAGAACATAAACATTAAGACCTTAAGAAGATGAGGGTCTATGAACCTCAAGAATCTCAATGTAATGAATATTGATAAAAGGATCTTAAACCAATAAATTGTCCAATGTCATTTATATAGAGAGAAAACAATTATGTTGCACTGTGGGATGTATCTAAAATCTATTACTACCCATACCACCCAAAGATGATCCAGGAGAGGATGCTAACAAATGCCTCTCAATCTGTTGCTGTGGAGAGGAACTATGCTCAGGCAATCCAGCAACAAGAGTTAGTCCACTAATACCTCCTGAGATTGCATTTTGTGATTCTAAAGAAAAAAGGCTACTGGAGCAGTGGCTCTCAAACTGGGTGGTTGCAAACCCTGTGGGGTCACATATCAGATATTACATTTAGATTCATAGCAGTAGCAAAATGACAGTTATGAAGTAGCAATGTAATAATGTTATAGTTGGGGTTGCCACAACAGGAGAAACTGTTATTAAAGGGTTGCAGCATTAGGAAGGCTGAGAACCTCTCCTTAAAGTACCTGTGAGGGCCGAGGCAAAACTCATAGGCTACAGTCACCTACACAGCTTACCTCAGAAACGTAAGTACTGGCTAAGTCAGAAGGCGGTCCTTCCTGCTTGAGGTCAGTGTTGGCCATTTCTTCCTCTGTTCTGACCATAACACTGTTCATCAGTTCTGTGCTATTCTGGTTGCTGAATTTAGACACGTGAGTATTAAATGATGGCTGTATAGTCATCTTGGGCCGAGGAATTTCATCAGGGAAGGTGTCTGCTTCTAGTGCATCTGGAGGCTCAGGGAAATCGGCCGTGCGCAGGTCACTGTCAGCTGTCAGCTCTGCTTGGGGTACGGGAGAAGTGAAGTCTTCCGTAGCAACAGTCTGAATAATAACTCTGGGTGTGTGACACTGGACGGTGACATTGTCACTGCTGTTCAACACATGTTCTGGCTGTAATATAGTAAAGAACACTGTCGGTGACAGGAACTAGTAACCTCCCTTCCCATACCTTTCACCTCTGCAACTACTTCATCACTTTCTAGAATCTGTTACTTCCCATGGAGTCCCTTCCTCAATTCCCTGCTTGGATGGATATGCATCTAATAAGAGGCAATAGTGGAGACTCGGCATGTACCCAGTGAAGAATTAGGTGCAAAAACTGCATCGCAAATGAAACAGGAAGTACACTGATACCCAACCCAAATGACTTTAGATTTCTATCAACTACTCCTGACCCACAACAGGCCCCCGGAAATGACATGACATACGGATAAAGCATGAACAATGATCTGTTCAGGAGAAGCAGGAGCAGCCGCCGCCAGGGTTACTGTGGGACTTGTGGTCAGAGTTAGGGGAAGGCCTTGACTTGAGCTTGTCTGAAGAAGGTAGGTGCCCGGGGTACCAGTGGGCTGTAAATGGAAAGACTGAAGAAGAAAGAGAGGTTCAACACAGGTACAAACCCTATGGATTTAGTCTACATCTGTATGTAAAACTGACTGAATTTAGTAGCTAGCAGCATACTGGCCAATCATGAAGGTGTACACATGACAAAGGGAATACTCTTCATCATATACACTGTTTGAAATATCTGGATAAAACATTTATCATGTCTTTTGTTCCCTTGCATTTCTAGTTCTGGTTTCAACTAAGCATCAACACAGTAGGTTCTACCTAGAACTACCATAGACAATGTAGGACCGCAATTCTCAATCATCTTTTTAAACTCTCCTCTGTGGTAAATAAAAAACAGCAAAATGTCTCAGTGGGTCAAGGCACTTGCCACCGAACTTGAGTTGGATCCCCAGGACCCACAAGTGGAAGAGAACAAACTCTTTCAAGTTATCCTTGGACCTCCGTCAGCACTAAGGCATGTACCACACCCCCCACTCGATAATGAGATGCACTAACACAGATTAACACCACATTTTTGAAAAGGAACATTCATTGGTGATGTTTATTTACTTGAAATGTTTTTATTATGGAATAATTTTAGGAAACACTCATGTATTAAGGAAAATGAAGATGCCATTTGAATAGGTTGTCAACTAACAATATATTTATCTTTTGAGATTTTATAGTGATGGAATTATCCACTAATAGGTTTTAAACTGTAAGTGTCCATATTAGTCCAGGCTATCTAATAAGCTGCAGATTAAGGGTTCTGTACTTAGGGGGGGCTGGGGAAGTCTGTTTTTTAGTCCAATATTATCTTGGCCAAAATGTCTTTTCTATGTCCTGGATCCCTACAGGATTTCTTACTGCTAACAAGGAGATAATACATATGTTTCATGGGAAGGGTTGGTAGAATCAGAAATGACTATTAAAGTGTCCACCACCACTGGGAACTCAGTTTTTCTCTGCTTCGCCCAAAGTGAAAACCAAGCCTTTCTCTAAAGGTTACCAGTATTTATCACAGACAGCTAGGAATCAGTGCTAATACTGTATATAATCACAGACACTGCAAGTATTTGAATACACTTAAGTCTTATAGTTCAAAATTTTGCCTGCTGTTTGTGCACACAATATGTGCCTGGTGCCCACAGAGGGTGCCAAATCCCCTGGAACTTCATTTACAGATGGTTGTGTGGGAAGAACAGCCAGTCCTCATTCTGCTGAGCAGTGTCTCCAGCCCCAGGTTATTTGGTGGGACTTTTCTAAGTAAACAACCTTAACAGCACCCCCAACAGGCCTTTCTCCAAGAAAAAATAAACAAGTGTAAAGTTGTCCCAATCAGTATTAATAGACTGTGTATTCCTTCTATGAGGTCACTAATCTCAAGTCCAAAGAAGTTCTGTCGCTGTCGGTGTTTAGTATACTGTACATTTCTACTGTGAGATCACCACGGTCTCAAGTCCAAAAGATGGAAATAGAATCTTCAAGGGATTTAGCTAAAGGATGTTGACTAAATTATTGTATTAATACATGATTCAAAATAAATCTTGAAGTAACATGAGTGCTTATATTTTCTTAATAAAATAGGAACCCACTCTGGGCTTGCGTTAGGAAGGAGGACACGAGCTGGCACTTTTGCTTCTTGAGTTTTCACTGCCCCCAAGAGAAAGCCTGTCCATTTAAGTCATGACCCCGTTCCCCTACCAGTTATAAGCAACCAAAATTTACTTGAATCATATCCAGATATTTCTTTATTTATGGGATTTCAAGTATGTGAGAACCACGAGATTTTCTTTCACATATGGAGCTACATAGAGATAAATCCGTTGTTCAGCTTAAAAATGTACTGTAATCTACTTGACTCATTGAAGAGCAAGTTAGTACACTGTGGATGAATGCTTGTTTATCCTAGCAACTGTATGGCTGACTGAAGCTTCAGCTTCTGCTACCTCCCAGCACAGCAATCACACCGCTAGCCCCAAATCCCAAATTGAGCATTCAGGCATGAGTTCTGTGTTATTTTAGATAAACTTGCAGTTAGAATTTGATCATTAATAACGAGTACATAGTGCGTGTGCACATGTGTGCAAATGCATGTGCAGGCCAGAGGTCGACATAGGTGTCTTCCTCAATCCCTGTCCAATGTCATTGAAACACAGCTCACTGATTTGGTGGACTATTGGTCTACCCACAGTGGGGCTTTACAGTTACGCTGCCACACCCAGATTCTTTAGGGTGCTGGGAATCCAAGGTCCTTTGTGCTTATAAAGCAAACACTTCCCCAGTTCCTGATAACTGGTTAACATTTTTACAGTTAACAAAATTTGTAAAACTATAACCATTAAGGACTGGAACTGAACATTTGGTATACAGTGACTAGCATAAGAGCTATTCAACATACTCAAACATTACCAACAGCTCATGAAGTAAGTGCCCACTAATTTTTGGTAATAATCAGTTTGACCTGAGTCAGTACAAATCGATACCATTTCATTTTCAGATGGAAAAAAAAAAAACTGGTGTATGTACATACAGAGAAAAAGCATGACAATGACATCAAAGTGGATGTCCAATTTATATCCAGTCTGTCCAGTTGGCCTCTGAATTCTAATTCCATCTATATACCTCATCTTTCTTTTGCATAAACACAGCCAATAGCTGTTATCTCAAGTATTACTCACTGGAAGAATCTCAAATGTCTGTAGTGTTCCACTGTTTAGTGTTATTGTTTCTGAGTCAACAGAAGCAGCAGGGGAGTCTGTTGAAGCTGTGGTAAGAAGAAGGACAATAATAAAATGCCGTGTGAAGTTTCTCCAATGGAATCAGCTGTCATGAAGGAAATCGTATACTGAATAATTTGCCTGCAAACCCGAAGTTATATAATGGGCTCATCTGGGATGGCACAAGGATCAGACATACACAAGAGCTAACTTCAACCCACCGTCAGTTCTAGACAGTAATGCCCACCCATGGCTTTTAATATGGTTGCTTTCACACGCCATAGAAAGCAATAATGACATCAGAGGGCTCATAAAGCCAAAGACATTATCAGAACCTATAAAAGGTTTGCTAATAACTCTTGGTGTGTATCTGGAAGTGTTTCAAGAGTTAAGAAGCAAGAAAAATACACCAAGGCTAAGCTGGAAAGAGAAAAAAAAAACAGAATAACAAAATTTTCTGGAAATTTTAGTAAGCACTATAGATGTGGACTAGAGGTCTCTAACATTAGGTAGGTATTAGTTATAGTAACACTGCCTCTTCCATGGCCCCTGTAGTGATCTAATCCAAATTAATATGCAAAAATTTTATCTGTCCTTCCTATATAGAGTTGTTATGAGGAGCAAAAGCAATTTTAAAACCAAAAGAATATTTTATAGTAATTCTTTTCAGAAGACCATATTTGATGGGGTCTAACGAGCAAAATCAAGAGACGGGTCAGAATGCTAACAATAATGAATGGAGTGGAGAACTCTTACTATACATCACATATCTTTTCGGAAGTAATAAAATACTCTTAAAAAGCTATTAAAAAGAGATGGTATGAATGAGTATTAAGGTTCCATTTATGAAATATTTGCTGTCTTCCTAATGGATAGTGTCATCCTAATGGTGGCTAATCTTTTCCATGGACAATTTATACTCATTAATAGCTCATCTGTTTAGGCTAGGAACTTCTGCTATTTTATAATTCTTAAACTATAAAATAAAAAAAAAATGGAGGGTCAAATAAAGAGTAAGGCATGTCATTAGTTCAAATGTCTCCAAAGCAGCTTTGTTTTGTGATGCATGTGATCAAACCCAGGGCTTCACCCCCACAAAGGTACCTTTGATAGTCACTGCATATACAGATATACGGTGCTCATGGTATCAATAGGTACCCAGTGTTTCTCAACGAGGGCATCTTGTATGTGTGTGTGTGTGTGCGCATGTTTGTTTGTCCCAATGATGGAAAGCACTATTAGCATCTTGTAGATGAGGTCAAGAAACACTAAGCATATCGTAATAGGATTGTAATAGGAGGGTATTCTGCAAAGACTTACTCAGAATGCCCAGATGTGAACAACAAAGCGCATACTGTGGGCAACAATCTTTTCACAGGCAAACAGCATCATGTAGGACCACCACCACCACCAAAAAAAGGGGGAGGGGACTAATGGTAAATAAAGACAGTTCCAAGAACTGGAACTCATTTCTTTTCTGTCACTAAAAGCAAAGAAATGTCAGAAGGGGGAGGAAGGTAAGTATGGAGCTGAAGTGAAAAACCTTTCCTCTATATATCGCTGGGTTACTGGAATCTTCTAAGCATAAAACTGTGACAAGCAAAGATAACTGAGATTAAAAACACTTCCCTAAAGCAAACTGGCCCTTTACTTCCTTAAATTTTTTTTTCAATCTTTATAAAGATCCCATTTTTAAAATATACTACCTCAGATCCAAGCCTGTGTTGTCTGCATTCTGGATAAATTACAAATGACATGTCACACTGAAAACAATTTCTCTCCTAATCATTAATTTAGATGCCTATTTGATTAATTTCTATGAAAATCCTTATCCTTAATTATAAAATCTAGAAAGATGATTTAGAAATACTTGTAACTGATAGGTGTTTGAAGTTCCTCCTGTTACACATTCATTCTTGTGCAAATGTTAACTGAGTCAAACAGAAAATTCCTTAGATCTTACAATTCATCAATTTTCATCAACATTCTAGAAGACTAAAGGCACTGGAGCCATTAACTAGATGGTAAGGCCCAATGGCAAGGAGTCTTGAGGTGCCAACACTTACAGACGTGGGTGATCTGGACTGGAATCTGCAACGCTGCCATGGGGCTTGGAGAGATGGCTGTATTATCTTCCAAGCGGGCGACTCTGATCTGAACATGCTGTACACTGGAATTGCAATTACTGTTTGGAACTCCAGCTCCTGATTTAGTCTCCAAAAGCACTGGGTTGTTTTTTTGGTTCTCATGTAACTGTTTAAGACCTTTTATTAAGACTGAAGGGAGATGGGTAGACAAAAAGAACATGACTCTCCGACAGACCACCAGCTAAGCATCAAGGGAAGTAGGGTGGGAGGAGGGCAAGGAGGGAAAGTATTCGGAGTAAAGAGTTGTACACTGCACATGAGAACTGTCGAAATCATAAAAAAAAAAAAAGATTCCAACTAAAACCTGTCTAAATCTTTGGAAATATCCGTAAGATATTAAAAAGGGATTAAATTTTTTTTTTTTGGAGATGGGAGTGGTCTTGCTATGTTGCCCAAGTTGGTCTCCAAATTTAGTCCTGTGATCCTGCAATTCTGCCCCTCAAGCAGCCTGGACTTGGAGACATGTGCCACCATGCCTGCCCAGACTTTAAAATCACTAAAAGTACACTGTTCTCGTCATCAGAATTAGAACAAAATGGAAATGGGTGGACACTGTTAGGGACACGGGAACAAAACATCTGGCAGAACTGTTCAGGAAAACTACTTACTAGTGACGTTAGCACATTGTTTCTATCTTTAAATGAACAATGCAGTCTTCTACCAATGACTCAAGGCTTTTCATGGAGTTGCTTACTCTAGAACTTGCTCTTTTTGGCGGGTGTGAGGCGACAGTGTCTCAGTATGTAGTGATCTGCCTGCCTTTGCTTTCTAAGCGCTGGGATTACAGGTTGGACCCACGATGCCCAGCTTTTGCTCTCACGATAACCAAAACTAACCCTCTGTAACTGGGAATTCAAGTCAAGTCCCTCACCACTGAATTCTGCTTTGAAAACTGGAGTTGGAATGTCATAAGACAAATGAGTTTGGTAACCTAAAGGAGACGCTAAAACTCAGGTTAGCACTGAAATGCAAAAAGGCAATGGAATGACAAACCTCTAAGCAAATCCTATTTAAGATTCCTGGAAACCCAGAGAGCCTATTTTCTTAATTTAAAAAAAAAAAGACAAAGAAAAGAAAAGTGTAGGGTACCAGACTTTTCTCTAAATAATAAATATAGCCAAGGTATTTAAAATTAAACAACTCATTTTTGAGGACAGTTTCTACCAAAGGAAACCATGTAAAATTTATTTCCTTTTTGTAGTTTATGTGGAAGATGAGCATGTGTAAATGTGCCCTCCCCTTACAGGTTTTGGGAATTACAAATCACATGGATTCTCTACAAAAAGAAAAGGGCAGTTTAAATGGAAATCTGCCGTAATAGCCCAATAGCCTGTACTTGAGGCAAAGACCTCTAACCACTAACTTCTTAGGAGTAATACTATAAGCAAGTAGTACATTACCAGGAAACGAAACATCTTTATGGTTTGCGATTTGCCTTTTGATGGTCCACCATTTACTGCGAAGCCACTGTGGCGAGCGGACACTGCTCCACCCCTCGGCTAACAGGTCCCAGTTGATTTCATTTTCATCGGCTGCATCGAGCTCTGCTATCCTACAGAGTACAGAGTAATCTATTAGTCCTTAGTTTAGT